GCATAATATCCTATACAGAATGTTGTTCTTTCTTGGTCATGCAGATATCACAGAGAATGTATAATACTAGTTTACTAGAGAAATAGAGCTGTTCAGGTATAGTGAAAAAAGAAAAAAAATACTATAACTCGCTTAATTTTTCTTTGGATAAGAAATATGTAAGCAAAATCATAAATCAACCTGGTATTCATGAAGAGGGTTCTCATAGCAGCCAAATAGTTACTAAATTAGTCATGTATGAAATGCAATGAATAGAAATATTTTTGAGAGAAAATATTTTTAAATGTGGAAAATGGCCTAAAAGGCACTATTGGTCCATAACTAACTCCTTACTAATAAATGGTAGGATGTTGAATCTTGAGTCCTATTTTTCTAACCAGGGTCATTAAAACACACACCTTGGTTTTTGGCTTGGGGTAAAAAGCCTTAATAAAATAAAAAATAGAACAAAACAAGCTTACAATTAAAGAATCTAAGTATTTTTCATCTTCAAGGTGCTGTAAGGTTAATAACCAAGTATTATCCCATTGTATAACTAGAAAAATCTCAAACCAGAAACCTAATTGATTTTTCAAGGTCATTAGAAATCTGTCAGAGCCAGGATTGGGAACAAAGGAGAGATAATAGACCATCAAGCTCATCATACTCTTAGAAGTCCACAACTTTTATTATTGCCTTGTTTGTGATGGCAAGCATCCTAACAGACTGTTTTCTAACCAAACCATTGGTTTAGCTACCTTTAGGCTTATCAGAATAAAATATGAACATTATGTTTCCAGATTCTTAGCGGTCTGAGTCTGAAAGTTCAAACAGGGAAGACCATTGCTTTGGTTGGTTCCAGTGGCTGTGGCAAAAGCACTACAATTCAGCTTCTGCAGAGATTCTATGATCCAGTCCAAGGAGAGGTAAGCGCACTTGAATTGTAGGTACTAACGAATACTAAGATAAACTTTAATTTTCAGGATAGATTGAACCTTCACTCTAAAAAGACGTATTACAATCTTGTTTCTAGTTTTGAACTATGGGCACTTATTCTACACAATTAATTAAAGAACCTGGACAAAGTGAACTTTTTTTTTTTCCACTTTTTAAAATGGTGTTTGTTCGTCTTCCACAAGCACTCTGCATTCCTGTATCTAGTCAGCAAGAACAACCAAATACTGGAAATTTCAAAATGTGTAGTAGCTCAAGGAAACTGGACCCTAGAAGTCCCTTCCAACATTTACTTCCCTTTTCCTCTGTATCAGTGATTCTCAACCAGGGTGCTGAGGCACTCTGGAGTGCCACCAGATCTTTTAAGGGTGCTGTGAACTGTGAGGAGATAAGTGAAGTATTAGCCTGCATTTATGCACTTATCTCTTGAGGCTTGTCCCCCACTCTGCAAGGACGTAAGCACTGTAATATATTAATTCGTTTTTGAAAGTGTGTGCCACAGTTCACAAAAATTATGGAGGGCTGGCTTGAGTCCAGTGAAGGGTGCCTAGAGTCCAAAAAAAGGTTGAGAACCACTGCTCTATGTCTTACAGAACAAAGCTGTCTAACTAGCAACCCATGGGCCATATGCAGCCCCCAAAGGGTTAACAGGTGGCCCATGGACTCCCAGCATGACTGCCACTACCCTTCCCTCCCCCCACCATTGTTGATCATGCCATGGCAGCTAGGTTCTTTGGGACTCCCTGCCCTCCCCCAGCTTGTACTTCCTGCTCACACTCCGGGTGGATGTGGCAGTTAGAGTGGCCATCATACAGGACAGTCTGGTTGTCCTCTGTCCTCTATTGATACAAAACCGGATGCCTTTATATCCTCTATTTTTCTCTTCAAGTAGTTCAAGAGAAAAATAGAGGATATAAAGGCATCCAGTTTCGTATCAATAGAGGACAGAGTAGCAGAAAACTGGAACGTTCTCTATGATGGCCAGCTTAGTGGCATTGCACTTGGAGGGGACTGGGATGCCCAAGCTGCATGCACCATGGGGGCTCAGAGGGGCCATGCTGCAGACATGGTGAGGAGAAGGCTGGGCTGCTCATGGTGTGTGGAAGAAAAGCAGGATCCAAGTTGCCAGCACTACAGGTAGGCACGCAGCTGGGATGGGAGGAGGATCAGTCTTGCTGTGTGCACTGGGATGGGGAGGGGAGGGGAGGGCGGGAAGGCTGTCCATTAGGCATATGCAGCTGATAAGTGGAGGGGAGGGAGGGGGAGCTGAGCTGCTTGGTGGCTGAGAGGGGAGTGTTGGCTGTCCTTGCAGCAGGTATAGCTGGGAGGGGGGTGGGGCCAGGCAGTCTGTGCTGTGTGCATGTACTAGTTTGCCCTTGCTGAGGCAGAGATCCCAAGGAAGGAGCTGACTGTGCAGCAAATAGTTCTTATTCTGCAGCCTGTGCCTTACGAGTGACAGGCAGCTGGCAGTCCATGTGGCCCCCAGCTGCCTAGAAGTTATAGAACATATATCATGGGCCTGCACATGGTTTACTTCATTTTCACTGAACATAAACTCTGTTCTAGGAACAGAGGTTTCTTATTCTAAACTGTTCTTTTAAAAGAAACAAAGTACAGTATATACTTTTTTGGTGGAAAACAAGGAAATTACACAATTAAATTTGCATTTAGGACAAGAGCTATATTCATAATAAGCAAAAAAAAAATTCAACTAGCTCTACTTAATATTTGTTTTTCTTATTTGGAGTATATTCTGTTCTAGTAGCACAGATTAATTTATTACTCCCTCTTGGATAAGGGGGGCAGGGTTAATTCACTTTAAAAAAAAATTTAAAAATCCTACAATCCAGAAGAAAACTCTGGATTTTTTAAGTGCTCAGATTTCCTGGGGACAATGTAGTATTAACAGACTAGTAGACTTTTATTCTTGTATGTGAGGTTGCGGTCTGAGTACCTGGTGCTACCCTATATGTTTATCCTGCTCCTTAGTCTCCCACTTTATGCAATGTGTAAAAAGACAGATATTTAATTTCTCCTGTTCATTTTTTATTTCTACTTTTAAAAAATATAACCATGTGAGCAGCTGCTGTACAGATACTTGTAACCCATTCAAACAGCTATTTTATAGTCATCTTTTTTTGTTTTAAACAAAGCCGATTTCTGCAGGCCATTTAACATTTTGCTTTTCTTCCCAGATTACCTTAGATGGGCGAGATATTCGAACACTTAATGTCAGGTGGCTAAGAGAAAATATTGGCATTGTGAGCCAGGAGCCTGTCTTGTTTGCAACTACAATAGCTGAAAATATTCGCTATGGCAGAGAGGATATTAGTGATGTCGAAATTGAGCAAGCAGCGAAAGAAGCGAATGCTTTTGATTTTATATCAAGACTGCCTGATGTGAGTTGTGAGATTTTGAATACCTTTAGGGTTAAATCCACAAAAAGCCTTGGGCATTGCAACACTTGCTGTTCTTGTGCCTAAATTTTCCACCACAGCAGAATCTGCAACCTTTAACTTAGAAGTTTAGGCTCTCAAACAATATATGGGAAGAGTTAGGCAACCAAGCAAAAATTGGCAAGCTGCCTAAGTTGGCCAGTAGAAAATAATGAGAGAGAGAGATTTCTTCCGAAAGCTGCAAGATATGGGCTGAGTATGATGGAAGTCTATCAAATCATGAGGGGTGGGCACAATACATCGTGAGGGCCAAATCTGGCCCGCCAGCTGATTTGGATCTGGCCCATAGGCTGACACACCAGTTTATTGAATCTGGCCTATGGCTGCCCCTGCAGCGATCCACATAGGGCTGAGCCCCTCCCACTTCCACCCATGCCCCAGCCCCAGCCAGCATGCAAACCTTCCCAGCAGGGCTGCTGTCAGTGGGGCTTCAACCGTCCAAGTTACATTTTTAGTACATAATTTTTTTTTTATCTGTAATTTGTTAAAAGGATATCTTCTAAAAGATTTTGTGTGTGGAGCCCTAAACGCCTCACCAGAACTTAAGTGGCCCCCATCCATAGTAATTGCCTACCCTATCCAGTAGTTCATACCTGAAGAAAAGTGCCTTGCATTTGAAAGATTGTCTAACTTTATCCTAACTATGCAGTTGGTCCAATAAATAATAGCATCCAAAAAATGAGTTGCCTCTCACTCACTGGTTAGAGGCCTCTCACTCACTGGTTAGAGCACTCAGCCAGAATTTAGGGGGGAAATTTCTTCCTCTATCTATCAGGATTTACACCCACATCTTCTGGGAAAGCACTCACACTTGAAATCAAACTTCTCTCAGGGAGCAGATTCTGGTCTGAAGCCCAGATGCTAGACATACATCTGAAAATAGAAGAAATATACATGGCATATGGTTACAGTTATTGTGCAGCCTTAGTGAAGCTCTGATGCACTACTTAGCTCTGCCTCTCAGCAGAGCTAATTAGTCTGGGCACAGTACCATGTGAACAAACTCCATTTGTTTTGGCTTATGAGGTAGCCTGTGGCTATATGCAAGTGGCTAGGGCTAGACTAGCTATTCAGTGGAGTTCTACCCATTTACCCTACAAGGAATTTTGGCTTACAGTTTACTGTATAATAATCACCATATATTACATGCCCAGATTTTTTTTTAAATATAGTAAGGTAGGTGAAGGACTTCTATAGACAATGATGGATTCCTGTTGTGCCAAGTCAACTGTGTTTTGACTACTTTTGCTAAATATTATCCCCCTCACCCCTCCTTGAATCTCCCTTTTTTATTATTTTAACTTTTCTATTTATGAAAGTGAACTAAGCTGTTCTGATAGTCTTTTGCTGTTATTGTTAACCAGTTAGATATCTGGATTCCTTCAGACAGTTCTAGTCTCTTATTTCACTTCTATCACTTCCCTTTTGTAATACCTAAAAATCTGATTTTAGAGTATATTTTAATCTAATAAAAACCAAGATGCCAGATACTGATTTTTCTAACCAAACTGAAGGAGGAAAGAAGACAAATATGTAAACTGATAATTAGAAACAATAAATCTTTCATCTGCCTCCAGGAGGAGGACAAAAATTGAACATAGTTGGCTAGGATGAGACTTTTAGCAATGAATACTTTTAAATGTTCTCTGTGATAGATGCCTTATACTTAACCATATGTCATGATATTTAAAAAAACAAAAAAACAAAAAAAGGAACATTTTGGTTTGCAATACTCACAGCTAACTAGAGCACTAGAGGATTTCACTTGAGCCCTTCTACAATCTTGATTCCTCCATGATTTTCTCAGAAATTTAATACTCTGGTGGGAGAAAGAGGTGCTCAGCTGAGTGGAGGACAGAAACAACGAATTGCTATTGCCCGTGCCCTGGCAAGGAATCCCAAGATCCTCCTTCTGGATGAAGCCACATCTGCTCTGGATACTCAGAGTGAATCCATAGTGCAGACTGCTCTTGATAAGGTAGGGATTGTCTTGCTGAAGTTCCTAGCCAGCAGAAGGAAACACAACAACCAGATGGCATATGTTTTTTCAGGGCACCTTCCCACTGTTTTGAAGCAAGGCTTTAAATGAGGGCATTGGTACTAATGAGGATATATGTTTATATTTTAGTGTTATGAAGTTGCTATGAAAATTAATCACAATCTCTTTAAGCAATTATGAGATTTTTTCCTTGTGGTCTTTTCATTATGCTGTACACAGGCTGGATGCTACTCGGTGAATGAGCAGCTGTGCCATATTTATTTTATGCTTATCACTTAGTGTACTGTCCCAGCACCTATTTATACTTATACCTGCTATGTTTAGGTGTCCAATTCAAGGTCCCTATGACCTGATTTTTGAGAGAACTCTTTGTTATTCATTTGTTCAGAGCACAGCTCCTACTGACTTCAGCTGCATCTGTGAGCACTCCTTCCTCGCCCCACTCCACAAAATAGACTAAATAATCTTAAATTGGTTACATAGAAAAAGAGGGGTACAGAGTTAGCAGCTTGCAATAAATTTTATTGATGTAAATTGCCAAGCAGTTGCAAAGGCTTCTGTGGCACAGGCAAGATAGAATCCTTTTCTCTTCCTCAGCCCCTTGTCCCATTCACTGCACTCCATCCAACTTCTGTGACCAGATGTGGCCTGGTTCCTACAGCAGACTGCTTTGATGTACATCTTGCCCATTCCATGAGCACCATTCAACCTTCTTTTACTGCTTTTGGTTCCTGTGCCTGCCATCCTTATGTCCCTGGATGCAGGGACATATAATTATAGAAAAAGGTCTTCTTGACTCCTGCAGTCCCAGGTTGAAGAACGAGCACTCAGTTGCTCTGTGGGAATTGTGCAGTGGCAGTAGGTATGCTCACAGGAGCTATAACAGGATGAAGCATATTCACTACAGGCTAAATCTTCAGATAATGTAACTGCCAAGCTCTAAAAAAAAATGAACTGAGATTTTCAATTGTTTATAAATTTAGCCAGATTTATATAGATTGCAATAAGGATAGCAACCCCCACCCCCCATCTGACATCAGCAGGACTTGTCCCACCCCCCGAGATGTCAGGTTCCTACTCTAAAGGACAAGCATTCTGAGCTCTTTCAACTAAATAGCTGTGGAAAATGTATAATATAAATAAAGCAACCAGGTACTTCTTTAAATGTTGGTAGTAATAGCATTAGTTTTAGTATTAGTTGTATTATAAACAAATTTATAAACAACTGAAAATAGGTCTTCTATTAGGCATCTTTAATTATAGACACTGGTATCCATACTCCTGTTAATATGGTTTCCTTTGTCACAATACATGTGGATTCTATCATTGGAAATGCACGCATAACTGCATTCATGAAAATAATGGCCAAGTATAAGAGGTTGCAGGGTTTTTAGAATGGAATGTTCTGTCATCTGCTCATTGTCAACTCAATTCAATTTAAAACTAAAACTTCTTGTGTTTTTGTTTTGTTCTGTTTTGTTTTATGTTGTTTTCCCTAAGGCTAGGGCTGGACGTACCACCATTGTGATAGCTCACAGGCTCTCAACAATCAGGAATGCTGATATTATTGCTGGGTTTGAGAGAGGCGTGCTTGTTGAACAGGGAACACATAATGAACTCATGGCACAGAAGGGAGTCTACTATTCTCTTGTAATGCAGCAGGTAATGATATGTGATTGAGAGCTACTGACTTAAGTGCTTCAGATTTATGGCCTATTGCTGCTTAAGAAAATCACCTCTATAATATCTCTTTGATGTAATTGCTGACACATGCAGTTTTGCACTCAAACTGCTGGGCCATTTTCACCCTGTAGTTCCTGCCAGTTTTCTAGCTGATTGAAAGTTGATCATTTAGTCTTGTTTATGAGCCTGAAGTAATTGTTCTTCACCTGTATCAGTGCTTCATATTTACGTGTCATAATACATCAAAAACATAACTGATTTACAGAGGTGGAATAAATTATTAGTGTCTATTCACAGAACTATTGGCTCACAAATTTGACTGAGAAATAAAGATAGGGGGAGAAGCATACAGGGCCAAGTTTTCTGATGTCTAAATTGGACCTGCAACATTTTACACAAGCAGAGAATTCAGCCTACAGAAATCAGGAGGTGAACATAGCCATGCAACCAAAACTTTATTTTTGTTTGTTCCCAACAAGCATTATTGTTAATTCCCTTTGCTACTAACTGTCTTGTGATGGTGTATCACCATTCCTTGGTTGTCACTAGGGTCATAATGAAAATGTTCATGGTGATGAGATGTCGGAAGGAGATGAAGAGACAGAAGATGAGAACTACGAGGAAGCAGATTTAAATAAAATTGGACAACAGAATTTGACTGAACATGGTAGCTTTGAAAAATTAGGAATCAGTGAAAAAGGAAGCATTCATAAGAGATCCAGCAGGCATAAGAGCAGGAAATGCTCTTCTAAGAAAAGGTATTCTGAAAAGAAGAAGAAAACAAAGGAGAGAGAGGTTAGTGCTAAAATTTCCGTTCAAAGGTTTAGTGCTAACTTGTGAGAACAAGATAAAGCTGGTTAGGGGGCTATTTTCTGTTTTGTTTTGTAATGCATTCAGCCATGCCACCTTTGTTATGACCCTGTCATCTGCAACATTGATCTAAGTGAATACTTAAATTGAGAGTCTTCAGGGCACTCACAGATTTAACACATCAGTGTAATTTCTTGACACCTTCTGAATCTGACAGTCGGCCTTGCGTTAAAGTGTTGTGCAGTTAAGTTCATCCTTAGGTTGAGATGTAAAACTTCTTGTCATAATTCATAATATGAAGGTGTTAATTCTGGTGTCCTGGCCAACCTGTGACTCAGATAATTAAATTCCACTGCCTAAAACTATTGCAGTACTCTTTGCTTCCTGATGTGAACTGTTAACACTTCTGTGCATTTTTCTGGTGGATTACATGATCCTTATATCCTTATGAGATCTAGTTTGCAAAGCGTTTTGAGATGAAAAGTGCTATATAAATGCAAACTATTATCATCAATACAAGTATTAGACACAAATTAAATTGAGAAAATAGATTTTTAAAAGTCTGCACTTTTGAAATGTAACTTAAAACAACAGAAAAGGGTTTTTTGTTTTTGTTTTTCCCCCCCCCCCCATCAGCCAGCTTCCTCAGTATATGCTTTAATAGATCCAGTTTCTAAAGTCCTTCTAAAGTGTACAGTCAAATTATTCACATCTCTGTATCAAGCTGCTTGGAGGAAAAGCAGTGGAAACTTTTTCATTGGACTTCATATCTTCTAGTGCAAAAGGTCAAAAATAAAAGCCTAGGGGTGAAGCCTGGATCCAGTGACATCCATGGGAGATTTGCCATTGGCTTAAGTTAGGCTAGTATTTCACCAGCAATAATGTTTTCTTATTGAAATGTAATTTTAGAATCCATAACACACCTACCCTCATTATACCACACCCTACTGATACAGTCTTGGTATATATTGCATAAAAATACACCAGTCCAGAATTCAATTTTTGTCTATTTCTTACTACTGCATTCAGTCTTCTCAGAGGAAGTAGTGGGTGGAAATATTCATGACTTCAGCATTCATTGTGTTTACAGTAAAGTGAGAAATTATTTTATGCAGCCATTCAAATTTATTTCAGAAAATTCAGCACGTTTTTATGGTTGAAGTGTGGCCACACTTTTCAGTGTCTGGAAACCAGGAAGCAATAGCAACTGATTTTTTTTTTTTTTTATCTCCTTTAATATCGTATATCAGTTCCTATGTTTTCATTACTCCCTTTCCTGAACTTCCTCAAAGTCATGATCAGTGCAATAGCTCAATGAAGCTGAATTGAGCTTGCCTGTATTTTTCAAAGGAGATGTAGGCTAATCATTGTTTCATATGCCTTTTCTGTGCTTCTGGTAATGATGCAAAGACTATATTTTGTAAAAGAAGAAACAGGCTAATTGACATAACTATACCCAATTGTACTATTGCCAACCCACTAACATTTAGTTGAGACTGAACTAGACTGATCTTATTGTGCTCTGAACAGTGAGACTTTTTAGTTCCTTATAATGATTCATGTGTTAAAGTTGCCATTCACAGTGACTGATTCTATGTGACTTTTTGTTGAACTATATAGACCTCTCTCCTCCATCACTTTGCCTTTTGTTAAATTTCTGCCTCCAGATTTTTTTGATGTTGTAATTGAAGTTTCAACAAGACATTGAACTAGACTGATGCAAACCTCCAGTATATTTGCTCTTGTAGAGAGTGGGTATTTGAGGCTGGCATGAACTCTCTTTCAGCATTTGCAGGGCTATTTCATTACTTAGCAACTGATTTATCCCTGCTCTGTGGGCATTTGTTATATTCTAAAACTTTCAGTGAAAATTTGAATTTGACCTCTCTCATGTAGGAAGAAAAACTCCCTGCTGTGCCTTACTCCAGAATTCTGGCTCTGAACGAGCCTGAGTGGTGGTATATATTGTTTGGCGTGATTGCTGCTGCCATCTCAGGGGGTGTCTATCCTGCCTTTGCTGTTATATTTGGAAAAATCATTGGGGTAAGTTCAGAGCTGTATAGTGAACTAATTGAAACAAAGCACATATACAGAATTTTCAGTCCTGCTCTAACAGCAAGCCAATCCTCTCTATAGTATCCCTATATGACGTTTCTTGCCTGTTTGCCAGCCCCACACACAGGAATCATTTCACTCTTTCAGGACAACAAACTACCTTCCTGTCCCTCAAGTCACTTCTTAAAACTTCCTGCCTTCGCTTAATGCTGTATGTACATCCTATCTTGTACCTGACTCAACATTATTTGAATTGAATTAATTTATTTTAGGCAGTTAGCTACTTTTAGTCACTCTGCTACAGGTTTGTCAGTACTTGGTATAGTTGTGAAACTTTATAATGAATGGGTGCTTTAATTACAGCAGCTCCAAGAGCTGCTGTAATTAAAGCACCTGCAGCATCTTGTGTATTCAATGTTTTGTGTATTAATCAAGTTTGCTCCAATGCACTGTAATTACAGTGCATCAGAGCAGCATTTCCGCATGCCTACAGGCACCCCATTATGACTGGTAGGGAGACTGCGTTCCCCCTTGAGATTCCTGTAGTGGCTTGTTTGAAGTTACTAGGTGCTATTATGTTAGAGAATCAGTCTTGGGAGGATAGTTGGAGCCTGGAAGCTAGAGAAACTTTTTTTTAACTTCCAGCAAGAGAAGAGTGGCTAGAAGGAAGCTGGATGGTCTGACACATTATGCTTAAGACATGATTAACTTGACCTGGTGACCTGGCTACACATTCACTCAATAATGACATGATAAAAGCAAGAATAAGCAACAAAGTTGTTACAAAAATATGGGTAAGTTCTTTGTTGCTGGTTCTTATCATGCCTTTAATTGAACATGTGCCCAATGCTCCATCATGGGAGCACAGGGTACCTTCCCCACTACAATGTGGCTGGGAGCTCTGTCAGCTGAGGGGGCTCCCAGGCTTAGAAGCAATGATTGGCAATACAGGAAGGAGCCCAGGATCACGATCCCAAGTTCCCCCCACACTGGTAGTGTGGCATGATGGGATATGACCCCACAATCCTGCCTCTTGCCATGCACATGTGGCATTGCAGGAGGTGCAATTATTGGGATTGTGCATTAGATCCTATCACACCTTCTTTTAAACATCTGTTGGGGGGGCCCCCTGGATGTTCAGGTAAAGCCACAATAGGATCTGATGCATGATTCACACAGTCACTCCTGCCATGCCACACATGCATGGCAGGAGGCATGACTGTGGGATCCAGCATCAGTTCCAATCATGCCTTATCGCCAGTTCAGTGGGAGCCTGGGATTGTAATCCCAGTGCGTGGAACGCTGCCTCCGCTGCAGACCTTTTGAGCAGATGCAGCTTTCAGCCATAGAGGAGCACCTGATCACACGTTCGATTAATGACATTAAATGAACAAGCCACAAAGTTATTCCACATTTTTTATGGAATAAATTTGTGGTTTATTCCTTGTTTTATCATGCCATTATTTGATTGAACATGTGGCTAGGTCACAATTTAAGGTGGGATTAACTGGTTAATCATGCATTAAGTGTAATGTGTAGATGGGGCCTCAAGGTGAAGTGCTAGCAGCTAAGAAGTGAATCACAGTTCAGAAGACAGGAAAGAGGTGAGAAAATGGAATGCTAAGTTATTTCTCCAGTGTTTTCTGAGCCAAAGTTGATTAATGTAACTGGTAATCAATGTCTGTGCACTTAATTTTGTGCTGTTCTTATATAGGCTTTTCAAGAAACAGACCCTGATAAGAGGAACAAAAACACTGTGGTGCTTTCTCTTATGTTTCTTGTGGTGGGAGTGATCACCTTAGTGACCCACATCATCCAAGTAAGCTTCACTAAATTGAAATGTCAAGTGTTTTTAGTTCTTTGTCATACTTCAGGTATAATGACAGTGACTGTAGTGAAGAGACAATATATTGTTCAAATCTACAAAACTCCTGAATTGCCAGTCATCTTTTGGGATATGTTTTTTTATTATTATTATTATTATTATTATTATTATTATTTTATCCTGATATTCGTGTATTTTACTATTCAAAATATGTGACCATATATTTACTAGTGTAAATCGGCTCCACTGAAGACATTGAAGGATTGAAGTCCATTGATTTCAAGGCTGGAAATTTGGCCTACATACATTTTGGTCAAGATTTTCAGTTCTTACTACAAGGCTATTATGGGGAATACAAAACAACTTGGCGTTAGGTATATTTTATATAAATTCTTCCCAAATCAATACACTGAGGGACTCAAATGTGTAGTATAGAATAGAGAATCATTCTTATCTGGATAATCAGTTTCAGACAAACTTAGGTTAGTAATACCTGATATATTTCATAGACT